AATAATGCTGTTGGCATCAACATGGATGGACCTGGAAATCATCATTCTAAGTGAAGTAAGCCAGAAAGAGAAGGAAACATACCATATGATATCACTTACATGTGGAATCTTAAAAAAAAAGACACAAATGAACTTATTTACAAAACAGAAACAGACACACAGACATAGAAAACAAACTTATACTGACTGGAGGAAAAGGGGATGGGAAAGGATAAATTGGGAGTTCACGATTTGCAGATACTAACTACTATATATAATATAGGTAAGTGTAAACTGTATAGCACAGGGAACACTATCCAATATCTGCAGTAACCTATAATGAAAACTAATATGAAAAGGAATATAATGTATGCATACATATAACTGAAACATTATGCTGTACAAGAGAAATTGACATAACATTGTAAACTGACTATAATAATTTTTTTAAATATGCAGCTCCTGTGAATAAATCTATCAAGAAGATGTTCAAGAACTCCTAAGAGAAAATTTAGACTATGCTTACATTTATTATATTAGAGATGATGTAAATATATTAAGAGACAGTCATAGATTCTAGGATTTAATATTTAAAAGATATCAATTTCCTTATAATTGTTTATAGACTCAAAACAATCCCAATACAATCTCCATTAAATTCCTAACGGATTTTTTAGAACTTGAAAAGTTGATTCAAAAAATCTATATGGAAAAATGCAAAAGGCCAAGAAATGCTATAGTATGCCTGAAAAAACTGCACAAAGGAGGATTCCTCCCCCTACTTACCAGACAGCAAGACTTAATTTAAATCTGTAGTAATTACAGACAGAGACTAAAGGAACAAATGCAGTGCCTAGAAACAGACTCACACATATATCAACTCTTGATATTTGAAAATAGTAAGTATTTGTTGTTCTAAGCCACTAAATTTGGAAGTAATTTGTTACACAGCAATAGATGACTAATACATTGCTGCTCACCAGTATTTCCAGATGTATTTCTTTTTTCTGCACAGAGAAAGATTAACCTTCCCCGTCTCCTTGAAGTTAGGTATACCACATGACTTCTTTTGCTTCTAAAGTGTAAATCATTCATGTTGCTTCCAGATGGAGGCATTTAAAGCTATTTCATGATTATCCACACTTTCTTTTCCCATACTGCACCAACTGGGAAAGTCCTGTGCTCCAGATTGTACAACAACAGAATGATGGGGGTTCCTTGAATTTAGACCTTTAAATTTCTGAGAGTAGCTGCCCTGGGCAGTTGCCTTAATCCATAGGAAACTATGTGTAAATGAAAAATAAGCCTTTATTGCCTTAAGTCAATGAGACTTGGGGATTATTTGTTATCACAGCATAACCTAGCCCATTCTACAGATACTAAGCTCAATCTCACCAGTAATTAAATAAACTGCAATGAAATAATACATATCCACCAGCTGCACAAAAATTAAAAGTTCTGATAATACTAAATTTTGGCAGAGATGTACAGACATCCAAATGGAAATGCTGAATAGGCAGCTGGATATAGAGGTATGAAGTTCAAAGGGAGAAGTCAATCACTGAGCTATCATTTTCAAGTCACCAGTGTACAATTTCAGAGATTGCATGAACTCCCCAAAGAGTATAGAGAAAAAAGAGCTCTCAAGGGCTAACACTTAAGGCATTTAGGTTAAAAATTCTGAGAGAAGAGAGATTAGCAAGGGAAACAGAAAGCAACGGCTAGTGAAGAAGGAGGAAAGTCCAGAGTACACGGTGTCCTGGAAGTCAACAAAGAAATATTACAAAGAGCAGAGAGTGATAACTGTGACACTGCTACCAACTGGTGAAGTCAGATCAAATGTGAGTGACAACTGACAATTGGATTTAGGAAAGGTGGTGTCACCGGTGACCATGACAGGAATAGTTTTGACAAAGAGTACTGAAAACAAAAGAGTGGTAGAAATGGGTTTGAGAGAATATATGTGGAATATAAAAATGAATATATGTATATTCCTATATGACTGAAGCATTGTGCTGTACACCAGAAATTGACACATTGTAAACTGACTATATTTCAATAAAAATATATGTAAAAAAGAGAAAATGTGAAGAAATGAATTGACAGTAGGGATATAGACAACTCTTTAAAAGTTTATGAAAATGGAGCAGAAATGGCTTAGTCTCACAAACATAACGTTAAGCAAAAGAATTTATGAAAGAATGCTTTCTATAGTCATATATATATTTTTAAAGCAAAATGAAATGTGATTAGGAAGGAACAGGCAAGAAGTTTCTTGGTATTGGCAAGTTCTCTTTCTTGCATGGTGAATAATGGGGTATTAGCCTTATAATTATCTGTTCTAATGATTTGCTGTATCATTTGTCAACCAGTACATCTGTGTTATGTACCTCTTCTCCCTATATATGTCATAGTTTAAAGTGTTAAAAAATGTTTACGATTAATAAGATCATGTGTGTGAAAAGACAACAGGTGACAGGACTATGGCATTGTAAAAGTTTTAAAAAGCATTTGAGAAGGCATATTTCAAACTATCAGTAGACTTAATTTGAACTGAAACTCCAAAAGGTTATATGTGTACTAGGTCTGGTCAGTAGGTGAACATCTGTGCCTCTCTGATTTAATTAAAACTGGAATTTGTAAATCGCATAAAATCTTAAGAATTAGAGCAGACCGTAAGCCCCTTTCTTCATTTTTAACTCCACGGGGCATGTTTTTTTCAGTATGCGTTTGGCTCTCAGTGTGAAAAATGCAGCACAATATCTGCCAAGGAAATTCTTTTCTTTTTCTGGATATTTTTTAAGTTTTATTTCCAAGATCCCCTTGGGATATTGCACTTCACAAACACAAACCATTTAGTTACATAATAGTGATCTAACTGTGAAGACAAGATTGTTTTTTCTTAGTAAATTCATTACCAAAGAGGAATAGAGCTTCTGCCAACCATGATGACTCTCCCAAGTCATGAATGAGTTGGCCCAGGAGTAGTCAGAGCCATCCACTGTTTTCAGTTGTTTTCCAACAAGTGAGTAGAAGCCAGGATATCTGGGTTCTACTACTCTCTGTTCATTCAACAACCAATTTCCTTAACTCTTTGAGCATCTCTTTCAAAGGAAATGATCACCTGCTTCACCAGAGATTATAAGGGGAAACAAATGTCTGAATGACTGATGACACTTCCAGTCCAAAGGTGGAAAGACAATGAAAATAAATGTAAATATGCCTGTAAAAGAATACTTCAGATCTATTCCATTCTCCCAAACAGAATACAACGCACATGCTGGGTGGGGACACATTCTTTTATTTTAGATCAAAGCCGCCAAAAAGAGCCAGAGACACTTCTAAAAGCTATCCTAACTACTGATGACTAAGTCTCAAATAATTCTGGATTACAAGGAACAACAGAAGCTATTCTAACATTCTCTGCTCAAATACAAACCAACAGTTTGTTGTTTGTTTTTTATCAAGAGGAAATAAAAGGTTCACTGACACTTTATAGTACACACTTCTTGTACAACATTGTGTGTGTGTGTCAATTCCTAATTTCTGATTTATCTGTTTAGTTAACCTCTGCTATTTTCTGGGACTTATTCCAAAATAACTAAAATGCAATACTAAAATTGGCATCTCTGCTATTAAGCTTAATTTCAGAGAGGTTCTAAAGTGGTCTGAAACCACTTTTTTAATATTCTGCACACAGCTTCATGCTAAAAAGTAACAAACACTGTTCACGAGCAGTAATTGATAGGAAAGGTGCAATTTCTGTTTCCTTCAAATATAAAATACAGAAGAAGAATAAGTGCTATGCTAAAGCCACATGGTTTTGTTGCAGTGGTACAAATACTAACTTCAAGTTGAACACTATTCTTTAAGCTAGACTGAGAGATGATCTAAATATTTACCTATAAGCTATATATTTCTGAGCTCTTTTAGGTGTTTTTCTCTTTAAGTTTTGGTTGGAAAACCCTAAAAGCATAAGTCATAAATACATATAAACAGATGCCAAGATCTCAAAATAGGCTTTTTTTTAATTTCATGAAAGTATGAACCTAGCAATGTTTGCAACATGTTAAACAGTTAAAGAATTATAAATTTTTAAGTTGGGAAACATCTTGGATATTATCAAAAGGCCCTCAGAATTTTAATCCAACCCTCTAACTTGACAGATGAGGAAACTGAGGCCCAGCGAGGTTAAGCTAACCACAGCTGCCACAGTAAATCGCAAATTATATCAAAATCCAGATATTCTGACTCCAGAATAAATCCAGAGCTCTGAAAGAGCATTTGTTTTTAATATACTTTAATACTTAAGGAAATGAATGTTAACAGAGGACCCTCCAAGCAGCCCCTCAATATATGGAACTCCCTCAGGCTTACAAACCCAAGTCCTAGAAATAGCACCCAAAATTATCACTTTCTCAGATGGCCTCATCCTACCTGGGGTTTCCAAAGTGATTCCTGGTTGGGTCGCTTTTTCTCATCTCTACAAGCCCCTTACAGTAAGTGCTTTGACTGGGATTGGGTTTTGTTGTTTTATTAATTTGGTTGGGGAGGGCAGGATAAGCAGCTCAGGGCTAAACCACCCCTACAGTACAATTTTTTTTTCTTTTGCCATCCAAAGCAACAAATCCTTACTCTGGACCCCAGGGCTTACTGGTTTCTGTCGCAGTCCCTTCAGTCTTCAAAGTAGGAAGGAGACCTGGAGAAGTTGGAGGGGTGGCATGACCTTTGGGGTCGCCCGCAGGTGCGCGCCCAGGCTGGGCGGTCGGCTCTCTGCCGCGCGCCGGGATCCTCCTCGCCCCGAGGGCCTCCCGAGCGCCTGCCCCGGGGGAGCCAGGGCCCCGCCGCCCGCCAGGCGCGTGCCCCTCGGGTGGCACCGCGGGATCGGCCCCGGCCTCCCGGTCCCCCAGGTGGCCCGCGGGCTCCGGAGGGCCACGCGCGTCCCAGCGCCCGGCTCCTCGAGTGGCCGGGAGCGGGAAGAGACTGCAGAACGGGTTTAAGGAAAGAGAGTTGGGTCCCACCTCGAGGCTGGGGTCCAACCCAGGCGGAGGCAGAGATGGCGGCGGCGCGGGGGCTCCGGCACCTGCGTCGCTCGCGCTGGGCCGGCCGTGGGCTCTGCGGTGGGGCGGCTCCAAACTCGTCGCCGAAGGTACCGGGCAACTCTCCGGAGCGAGGAGGCAGAGGGGTGTGGGAGGAGGGGCTGAGGGGGAGCGCGGGGGAGAGGGGGGGAGAGGAGGGGGGTGCCGAGGAGGGGGGTGCCGGGGAGAGAAGGGAGGGGAGAGGCCGCTGCCCGCCCGCGCGCGCCGCGCCCTCCGCCGCCGCTCGTGGAGGGGAGAAGAGGCCCCCGAGCCGCCGGGGGCGGCCGCGCAGGTGACTTCGGCGGCCGCGAGAATGCGACTGCGCGTGGCCGCGGCCTCGGGGAGGAAAAGTGAGGAGTTTGGGAAGAAGGGTCCCCCTGCCCGCAGAGAGGCCGAGACTCGAGGCGAAGCCAGCGGAAGGTGGCGCCACTACTTCACGCAGGTGTCGGCTCCCGCGCGCCCACCCTGGGCCGGTGCGTCTCAGACCCTGGGCTGGGCGCTGGGGCTCCTCTGTCCCTCCCACTTCCAGACTTCCCGGCCTCCGCTGCATCAGGTGTGCGAAATGCTGCAATAAAGACGCTAGTAACGGGGACGAGCGGGAAAGGAGAGCGAAATGGAAAAAACCAGAAGCCGTGAGGTATTGAGTTTCCTGTCACCAAGACTGTTTCGGCCGAACATAGTTATGCTTGTCAGGAAGCCTAAAGAGTGCACACATGCTTCTAGTGAGGGGTTGAACTACATGACCACTTCTCTTTCAATCTTGGAATTCAATAGAATTTGACATAGTAAGGAAAAAAAAATCCGTCCTTGTACAGTCTGATTCCAACCCCAAAGTAATAAGCACTTTCTTGCTCTCCAGTCAAAATGTTTACACATTGGTTTGCTTATTTAGTAATATACTTTTACTGAGGACCTACTATGTGCCAGACTATATGCAGTTATTATTGAACTTGGAGTTATGACAAGCAAGTATTCATATAATTACTGTGTGATGGGTGAGATGAAGGAAACCAATAGGGTGAGGAAGAAAGAAAAAGTGAACTATTCTAGATTGGGTGGATGGTTAATTTTCAAAGATCTCTAGAAATGAACTTACCTGACTCCCTCATAGAAAGAGACATTGTAAACAGAGAGAACCTAGCCCAGAGATGTGTAGAACTAGAAGCAATGTCTGCCTGCTCCTAGACCCTGGCACTTGGCCAACCTGTGGAACTTTTCCCGCAGACGAATATCCTTCCAGGAACAATGTCACCTAATAAAAACAAACGTCTTCATTGGATGAAAGCAAGAATTGGAGTAGATACTGACTTACCCAAATTATTGTGAAATAAAACAACACAGCAGAATCCTTAATTAGACAGCTGGTATGAACTGGCATATTAGTTTTCTAGGGCTATCATAAAAAATGACCACAGATTCAATGCTTAATACAACTGACATGTATTTATTCACTCTTCTGGAGGCCAGAAGTCCAAAATCAAGGTGTCACCAGGTCCAGACACCTCCCAAAACCCTAGGAGAAAATCCTCCCTTGCCTCATTCAGCTTCTGGTGGCTCCAGGAATCTGTTGGCTTGTGACTAAATTTTTCCAATCTCTACCTCCATCTTCACATGGCCTTCTCCTCCATGTCTTTGCCTTCTCTTCTGTCTCCTGTAAGGACACTTCTCATTGGATCTGGAATCCATGCAGAAAATCCAGGATGATCTCAGCTGGAGATCCTTACTTAATTAAATCTGCAAAGACCCTTTTTTCCAAATAAGGTCACATTCACAGGTTCTGGGGCTTAGGATGTGGACATATTTTGGGGGGAAGCCACCATTCAACCCACTAAAGCTAGGAAACTAATAGGGACCAAAATCATTGTCTACTGTGGTATCAGGGTGTCATTCCAGCACCATCATTCAAAACTGCATTAATACAATGTATGTTTAATTATTTCACTGTAAACTGCTAAAAATAAATGTCATTAAACCTGGGGGGAATAACTGTAATAAGGAAAAGCAGTACAGAGGCCCAAGACTTTAATTCATGTTTGAGTCACAGGCAATATTCAAAGGTCAGGCATGGCTCCCCAGAAGCTACCATTGTTAAATTAATACAGAAATGCACCCCACATCCGTATGTATGGACTTCCGATAATGTGATCCAATACTGAATGTCTGCTGGGCACCAGGCTCTGTGTCATGAGCTCCTGTGGAGCTTACATTCTAGGTTAGGGGACACCTTTGAATCTCATTCCCTCTGGCACAATGTGTGCTGCATATCTGAGTTCTATTAAAAAGTTGTTGAATAAATAGATGAGTGAAAATAAATCACTACAAATCAGGTAGGCAATTATCACCACACTGAAAAACATCTCCATAATAAGCAGGTAAGCTTTACTAGAGCAAAACATATTAACACCCTGACTCATTCAGTGTTTTCTTAAGTGAGAAAAAAAAAAAAAACCCTGAAAGGAAACCATTGATTTAAAAGAGAAAATAATGAGATTACCTGTCTTCTCTTTCTAGAAAACATCAATATATGCCTATTTACACAGATACAAATCCTGCTGGGAATAGTCAATCATAAGTGAAGTTATAGTTCCTTAAAGTGAATAAAATAATTTGTCCAAGTGTTTTGGTTGATAGTTTCAACTATTAATTTCATAGTATTGATGCATGACTTCTTGAAACTCTTTACAAACAGTAAGTTCAATGACTCCACTCTCTCCTGGTTCACCTCTTCCCTCTTTGAGTTTCCTTCTTACTCTTCTACTCTTACAAGTATAAACAATCAACCAATATGTTAACATCTACCAAACTGAGTCTCATTCATTGACTTACTTGGGTCACAGGCCTGTCTCTGAACCAGTCATGGTGGCCAATGAGTTAGAATATAATGACCATACAGGTGTGAGTTATTTGTAAGTTACTTGGTTAGGGTGAGATCAACTCTCTTCCCATCTCTTCTTTTCCAAGAGTGCACAGGTGACTTACACCTGTACAGTCATCACGTCCTAAGTCATTGGTCACCATGGTAACTCAGAGTGAGGGGAAAGTGGTACCTCAGAATAAAATTAGGGTGATCTTCCTGAAGGAGAAGTGGGCAAAGAAGCCCAGATATCTACTACAATAGACACCTAAAAAGTTTTGTTGTGAGCTGAATACAATTTTAATTGAAACAGCACTTCAACCTATTTGTGGTATTCTAAGTGTCTTCTAGAAAGTTATTTTTAATGAAATGATAATTATAACTTGATTGTATATCTGATTACCACACAAATCTTCAAGTTTTACGTTTATAAAGGACTTTGGAAAATTCTTTGGAGGCCGTGTAGTCAAGCATGTGGGCTCTAGAATCTGATTGCCTGAGCTTTTGTGCTCACTTATTATGAGACTGTGAACAAGTTCCTTATCCTCTTTCTGCCTCCATTTCCTCTTCTGTAAAATGGAGATGATAATAATCAACTCTCTGAATCGTCATCAAAAGTCATGAGATAACAGCTATGAATGGCACTTGTTACCTAGGACTCCATTGCGTTTGCCTACTGTTCATCTCCTTTAGTCGTCAGGCATCTCTGGGAAACATTCTGGTAGTCACACTTTGATCATTTACTTTTCTCTTAATAGATAATCAGTCTCTGTTGTGTATCAGGGACAGTTACCAAGATAAACAGCATGGGTTCTTTATTCCCGCAAAGAGTCAAGTGAGGATTCTCAAAGTTCAACCACTCCATGCTGGGGAACAAAGTGTGAAAAGAAAGGCACCGAGGAGAAAAGGCGTGGCACCTTAGGGAAATGTAGGTAGTGTAGTGAGAGCTCAGGGTATGTTCAGAAAAGTGTGCCCAGAAAAGTACATAGACGTCTATTAGGAAGACTTTTGAAGGTCATATCGGTTTTGAAGGTCATCTGGACTTTAACCTTTATGCGTGATGAAATGTTGGAAACTTTTAGACCCAGGAATTAGTGTTTTCAGGTTTGTAGGAAGGAAAGCGCATCATGGGTGTGTGAAGTATGGCAACAACAAAAAAAGATAAGCCTAGAGCCAGGGTAACAGAAAACTAAGCAATTGCAGTGGACCAGTGTTTCTCAGACTTCAGTATGCAACTGAATCGAACTTGGGAGACTTGAAATACAGCTTCTGACAAAGGAGTGTTGGGGTCAGGCCCCGGAGTCTGTATTTCTAATAAGCTCCCGGGTGATGTCAGTGCTGCTAGTCCAGAGTAGGGTAATACACTATTTAAATGCCACCAATGCCATTGCCAACAAAAAGAAATGTATATGTAATATATATCAACCTTTTAAATCCTCATGGAGAAATAATTTGCAGCTTGTAAAGTTGCAACTGCTGATTGAAGAATTATTATGTACAACCAGCCAATAAGAAATATTTTATCTTAATCCTTAAGATATCTCTGAGAATAAATCCTTTTGTAGCCTGAATATGCAAATGAAAATTACTAGGTTATATGTGAAGAGGCAGCTGTGGTTAATGGATGAAGCATAATACAGGACACAGTGATGGTCTTCTTGATGTGTCAACTTGGCAAGGCTACGGTCCCTCGTTATGCAATCCAACATTAATCTGTGTTACCATGAAGATATTTTGTAGATGTGATTAAATTTAAGTAAGACAGGTTATCCTAAATAATCACCATAGACCTGTTTTACTCTGTTAAAAGGCCATAAAAGTAGAGCTGAGGCTTCTCTGAAGAAGAAAAAATTCCACCTGTGGACAGAAGGTTCAGCCCATGACCAAGAGTTCTAGCTTGCCTTTCCTAATAGTCTGTTCTATGGATTTTGGATTTGCCTAGCCAGTCCCTCCAATCACATAAACCTTGCAATAAATACCTTACTATGTATCTTCTATTGGTTCTGCTTCTCTTGTTGAACCCTAACAAATTTTGGTAACTGGAAGCAGGGTGCTCCTATTAAAAAGACCTAAAAATTTGGAAATGGCATTGGAATTGGGAAGTGGGCAGAAACTGAAAGAATTTTGAAGGACATGATGGAAAAAGCCTATCTTGCCTTAAACAGACTCTTAGTAGAAATACGAATGTTAACAACTCTGCTAGTGAAGCCTCAAAAG